GTGTGTGTGTGTGTGTGTGCGTGTGTGTGTCCCCATGCATTTCAAAAAGAATAAAAATTGAATTCCCCGTGCTTCTACTCTAACCTTGGCCACAATTGCTACATTTAGATACATCTCTCAAGATGAATGTTTACGAGAAACTTTCTTTTTATTGATACCAACGCATGTATATACATATATATATGTATATATATTCATTTATCGATTTGCCAAAAAAAAAAAAAAAGTGTCAGGTACAAGATGGTATTATCAATGATAGCAAAAACAAATTTAATTTATAAATAAATCATATGGGAAACATCGTGGCAAAAATTGTTCAGATTATACCGTACAATTCAGCCAGAATATGAAAATAGCAATCAATAATGGTTATGATAATCTGCTGTTTAATTCGTACAATTTAATTATTTGAATAAAAAATGCATAAGATAACCATTGATTACCCAATTATTATTGCATATTTCTTGCTTTCTTATGATTTACAATGAAAAAAAAAAAGAAAAAAAAGGGAAAGAAAATTTGCTATCAAAAATATGGAAGTGAAAAAGTTTTGCAACTAATTTTAATAGCCTAATCATCCCACACAGAAATCATCTCATCTATTCCTCCTTATTTTTCAAACAAAAATTTCAAAAAATAAAAAGTAAAAAATAATACAACATATTTTTTTTAAATATTAGCAGCATATTTAGTGATAATAATTTATCACTGTTGAAAATTTTCGGCACACTAATATGGAATCTTTTTTTTTTTCCCACTATTCCTATAATTAATATGAATTCTTTGAATTAAAAAACACTCTGAATTTTACGAACTCTTTCACCCTAACAATCAAATCTTAATCTAATGACTTTTCAAGTACAACGAATACAATTCAATACCGCATTGCAAATTAATCAAAGTTAAAATTTCATCCCCCCATCACCCTTCCCCAATCTTCCTCCTATAGAACAACTAATATTTATCATTGATTAAACAATGTTTAATGAACGATAACGAATTTGCATTAATTAAACAACAATAGTAAACAATTTAGAATGCATGAAATTTGATCATAATTCTATTGGAATGTGATGAAAAGATGCTGAATAGGAATAGTATTACCGAAAATAGTGTTGAAAATATTTATTTCATCTGAAAAACTCAACGATTAACAATCATTTGCTATATCTTACAAAATTATCAGTTCATTCTCTTCGCGATATAACAGTTATCATCGTATTGCAAAATATCAGCATTTCTTTTTTCTTTTTAAATTCCCTAACAATTTCTTGTATAAAAGTTTATAAAGAATTAACCGATACATACGTACATGAGTAATTCCACATACACTGAATAATTATATCTATGTATAGAATAATTTAACCAATAATTCCGATAATAGTATTAACGATACCGGGAATGTATAAGTCACGGGAACAGGAATTTACTTGCCCCAAAAATTAATCAGGAATTAACAATAATGATCTTTTTTTTTGGGGAATAGAAAACAAAAAACTGTCATCCTCTGTTAAAATTAAGCTTGCGGAACAACGCCCAATTTTATATTTTTGAAATTTAAATCGATATATGTTCGAGGATAATCCATAAGTGCTTATCAACACATGAAATGCTAATGTTAATAATTCACCGAACAAATAAGTGACAAGTTAATTACCACTCATTTGTTTCTTATTAACACTTAATCATCATGAAACTCGCTCGAGTAGTCTTCATGTACAGTTATGCTCAGTTTACAATAACACATTAGGAGATCGTCGAGAAAATCATAGATAACTTGGATAAGTCATCCCGAGAACTTGTTCGATTGTATTTGAGCCATGATGGTCTAGGATCATAAAACTTACAGTTAATAGTGTGCTGTTAGATTAGCTTATACAGGAGCATATTACGGCCATCTTTGCAACTTCCAAACTTAGTTGACGTTGATAGAAGTGATTTGAAGATGGAATAATGGAGTAGTAAAGCGAGTGACCACAGGTCGAATGTCGATTCGAATTTCTCTGGCTAAGTAACACAGACATCCGATTCGACGATTCGTTCTTTGGTCACTCTAATTGGCTCATCATCTTAGTACCAACATCAAGTACATATAGTAGTAGTAGTAGTAGTAGTAGTAGTAATTCATCCATTCAGACGACACTAGCGTTTACTTCTGGGAAATCAAAAGTTCCAAGATCATCCTGAAAATTTCTGCTAAAATAGAATATTATAACATGATAACTCTACAACTTTACACTCCACATCAGAATGTGGTAATCCAAATACTAACGAAAACGATATAACCATATTCGGAAACACATGAAATGAAGTACCATTATACTTTCGTAATATTAAAGGTTATAAAATGATGATTTCACATGAATGTGGTATAAGACATCATGATTTAAAAAAGGAAAAAAAATTAAATGAAGAAATAAGATCGAGATTTATTCATTAATTAATGTTAAGCAATGGGAATAAAAATGAACCTACTTTAGTTATCACTTCAAAATGCTTCAAATTCAAATTCTTCGTTAATTTTAACAATTGATTTCTACAACAACATCTACTAAACATCTAATAATACGAATAATTACTCATTTCCTGTGACTACTATACCTAACTCATTCCCATTTATCTCATAGCATGTACACTTATTTCCAAAAAAAAAAAAGAAGAAATTGAGGGATCAGAATATTTGGAAATTATGCATACACATTCATCTCATAAGTCTGATTAACTTTAATTGATAAATAGCTTAAATCTGTAATATCAGCTATAACTACCTGTAATGAATAGTGATACTGTAACAGTATAATGTGGTAATCATCAATTCTTAATACTTCAAATGAAATATTTCTTGGCTCAACCAATTGTAACTATTATTGGTATGAATTAATACAACGATTAATGATAGTAATTGTAATCATAATCGTAAACATAATCATAATTACAAATACAATTGTAATCGTAATCTATCGTTATCAATAGTAACAAGGGAATTTTATGAATCACAAGCAAACAACGATAGCACTCACCGAACCACAACCGACATACATTTGCGCAGCCAGTCAATTCGTGTTGCTCAGTATTTTTTTTTTTCTTTTTTAAATGAATAACAGAAGAAGGGAGAAATGGTAAAAAGAGGTGGACAAAAGACCGGGTTATAGGATAACACTCGGGATGGAGTACTGGGAGGGAATGAAGAGGGAGGAAAAGAAGAAGATAAAGGTTGATGATTAGGGTTAGGTTGACAGCAAAGAAAGAAGAAGAAAAAAAAGGAAAAGCAAAAGAAAAAAAAGGGAGAGAAAAAAAAAGAAGGGAAATAGGGCAATTGTTGTGAGGAATTGATAATAGGTAAGAGGGTATTACCATCATTCATTCCTCCATCTCTTTATCCTCCTTTTTCACTTCCATTCTCTCCTCCCCGTTTATCTATCATTTACCTGTAAATTAGTTTGGGTTTAAGCTGAGACTAAGTTGAACAGAAAAGATAGATGTATTAAGTTAACGCTTATTACCTATACTACATATATTAATCTTAGCATTAACTAGGATAATTTCATATCAATCATCCGATATCACTCGTTGTCACTTCAAACCATCATTATTATTATCATCATTATCATTATCATCACCATCATCCTCATCCCATCTTCCCACACATTTGCCTTACCTATTGGCGGGAGAAGCGGTCTTTGTTCCGTTTTCGTTTTTTTTTTCCCGTTCCGTTTCTTTGTTCAGCATTGAAGCTGAGGAGGAGGAATGAGGAATGAGATGGTGGGAGGAGGGGTAGTATAAGTAGTAAAATAGTA